ATTTAAAATAGAAATAACTTTTTTAATCAAAATAATTATGTTCAAGTTAGAATTTATTAGACTCAAGTTAATCTAATTAAATTTTAATATTTACGGTTAATTTTGGTTTAGTTAATGTTAATGTAAATTAGCTTAAAAATTATTTAAATTTTAATTTATAATAGTATTATTAAAAATTGTGGTAGTTTACATTAATTTCAATATTTAAATTTATTTAAGTTAGAGTTAGGTATATGTTAGTATACTTTGATTTTAAAAATCAATTATAATGTTATTTATTTTCAATAATAGATATTAGTATAATATATTTTTAACACTTATCTAATTTATTTAATTAGTTAATGTCTATTTAATCTATAATGATACAATATTTTTAATATTTATTTAATTTTACAATTTGTATGTCTTCATCCTTTAAAACAAGAGTTGCAGACAAAGTTAATTTAAAGATTCAAATTCGAACATGGAAAAATTCAATGATTCGCGTAATATAATTTACATAAATAAGAGTTTGAAATCTTCTTATTTTCTTTCATATCAATGTGAAACATAACTTAAATAAATATTTTCCTTTTACTAAGAAGAAAGTCTCGATCTTTTCACAAGACAGTATCTTTTCCACAAATATTTGCTTTTTTAACTTTAGTGCAACCAACTTATGATAAAAGAAGATATATCGTTTAAATTTAGTAATATAAACATTATACAGATAATGATATAATAAGATTTACATATTAACTCTGAACAAAATTCTTCAAATGAAAAATAAAGGTTTAACCTAAACTGCAAATTTCACTCTTAATTTCTCGCTGCGACAACTGAAAGATTGTATCCCTAAACTCACACCATCAAGGTGATAATTGCAAAAGAGAAAACAACATACAAAGACATACCACAGAAAAACAAAAGTAAGCTAGTGTAATTTAATAGTCATGTGAGCATATAATTTAAACAAACAAATCAGATAATCATACACATGTATAAAACATATAAACACATATTGACCAACCACATTAACTTGACTGTCCGAACTAGTATGAATATGTAGCTTTGATCGTTCATGCACTCGTGGGTGTAGTACTGGAAATTCATCAGCTGCCACACGAAGTTAACCCGTTATCACTCACCGTAGGACCCCCTACCTCGGCTAGGGTCTCCTGCTATTATCACGACATGACTTACCCATCTCTTACTTGAGACTTGGTAATCATTAGAATCCAGGATGAACGTTGTGGATTTTGATGTCCATATTCATACTATACCACCACCTTGATAACCAATCATTGAGACATTCCTCCTTGGAATTATCTTTCAATCCACCTTAGAAATATCATACCGTACTTCGATACCAACATACTTCCTCATGCACAATACATTAACCGAACACTTTTAGCTTAGATAGGACACTAAGAACTTAAACCGAATACTAATATAAAACTGAACATTAAAGCATTACCGAACGGTCATTAAGAGACCGAGTGCTAGTACAAGACCGAGCACTACTAAGAGACCACCCACCCACCTAAGACCGAACGGTCATGAATGGGTAAGACCAAAGAGACCGAACCCAGTTAATGACCGAGTACCTGAACATGGCCGAGCGGCCAATCAACGCATGACCGAGCAGGGCCGAATGCTATGACAACCGAATACTAGTGTATGACCAAACACTAGTGTAAGACTGAACACTAATAAAACCAAACGCTAGTAAGACCGAACGCTAGTAAGATCGAACGCTAGTGTAAGACCGAACGCTAGTGTATGACCAAACACTAGAGTGACACCGAACACTAGAGCGAGACCGAACACTAGTAAGACTGAACGTTATATTCAATCGAATACTAGTACAAGATCGATCGGTCATTAACTGAAGCTCCACAAGTAAAACTCAGTTAAGACCGAACACAAGAGGAAGGCCGAACGGTCAATGAATGACACTCGGCGATCTACATAATTCTACAGAATAACTACATAATAACTGCAGAATTATGATAACACCCGTCTCTACTATTTCACTGCATTTTTCCCAACTTCTAATCCTCCAAACTTGTATCATACACACCTATACGCCCAACTAAGAGTATTTAAACCTTTACAACATCATTAAGAGAGTTTTATCTCAGATTATAGGGTCAATCCTGTAGAATAATCAACTTAAGGACCTAAAATCAGATTTCCTACCATTGCACATTTTTAAGTGATTCAAAGCTTCTAACAAGTTATAAACAACATACCCAGATTCTCCCTATAGAATAATATCACACCTGATACCCATTCCCCTTTTTCACTACCACACTTCCTCATAGTTCACTCGGCACAATAACTAGAGTTCTGCAAAAATGAAATCAACAAGACCACAACATTCATCAGCCCACACAAACAATGCAGAACACAAAATATTCAATTACATACACATCAATATTCAAAACAGCAGTTACATACACAGTAAATTCATCAATTAAATTAACTAGCTTCTCTTACCTTTAACAGAACCGAACAGCTTCTACACCTCCAGAAAATTTGTTTGAACCCTAAGAAAATCCTAAGAACACCTATGAACCACCGATTGGTGAAAGAGGACCAACTGTAGAACCAAAATGAAATCTGAAAAGGAAGAAGGAGAATGTGGAACACTAGCAAACAAGATTGTTCCTTGCATGCATCAAAACCAAAAATCACTAAAACCAGATAACGAGACTTACCAGTTCAAAACGCTAAACCAAACAGTGAAGCAAGAAGCCATTGACGCTAGGATATCTTAGGTGCCTCCTGATCGTCGAACAGATGAGCCACCAGTGAGAATTTCTAGAGAGAAGGGAGAGGAAGAGTAGAGAATAATGTTTTAGAGAGATGGAAAATATTTAGATAATGAACCGAGTATTTAAAATTTCTATTTATACTATTGACTTATTTTAACATAAAATGCTCGGTCTCATTATTTTAATATATTTATCAACTCTTAACAGACAATTTTATGGGTTCTTATAGAAGCCACACACACTAAGAGATGTAAAAATAAATTTTAATCCGTGACTTAATTCCCGGTATAAATCATATTAAGTTAAAAAAAATATTAACTTTTGCAAATATCAATCAAATTAAACTCGACTATGCGAATTAAATATATTCGAGTTGAAATATAATTATTTATTTTACTTTTATTATTTTTAATAACTCTTTTATTATAATTATTTATTATTTTTAATTATATAGATTGATAATTTGATATTTTTAAATTCTAGAATAACATTCAATAATATTTAAATAGTTTAAATATTTAATTAAATTATTGGTTATATAAATTAAAAGTTTAATTTTTAATTATTATTTTTAAAAGAATGTTTAGTAAAAATATGTAAATCTTTTATTATATTACTATAAAATAATAAATTGACTTAATTCACTTTAATTATATTATAATAAATATATAAACTAAATTGAAAAAATAAAAATAACCCGCTAATTTATCATTTTATAATGACCTACTCGATTATAAAAGTTTTAACAAAAATAAATAAATAAATCGAGTTAACTTTATTTTTAACTCAATTCACAATAAGCAAATCTGTAAATTTGACATCCTTACAGACAAATATCCTATACTGCAACATTAATTATATCAACATTAATTATAAAGTATGTAAAATATATATTCAATACTTAACATAAATTATAAAATAGTTAATTGTAATTTGTTTAGATAATTAATACACGAAATTATACATAATAATATTAGAAATTAAAAATCAATTTAAAATTTAATAATAATTTTTTTGTTAACTTAGTTGATACTATTTAGAATTGTCTTAGTTAAAAATATTTAGAGTTTAATTTAAAAGTCAAGCATCCTGATTTTAAAATCCTTACATAAACATAACACTATTAACACTATTAGTAACCAACAATTTTTATTTGTTCATGTTAATTTTTATCTTATGCTAAATACCTATTTTTTTATTATATAAATAATAATTATTAACATCAAAATTAATAAAAGTTAAAATTAAAAAAAAAGTAGAAAATTACACTATAGTTCATAATATTAAATAATTTTATTTAAAATGTAATTCTCATCGTTCCTATTGTGTAATAAGTGTTTACTATATATTTGTTGATTTAATAAAAATAAAAAATATTATAAAATAAAAGAGTTGGTGGTCCACATATAGCTGCATTAATACTACATAGCTAAGGTCTGAAACTTATCTCATCAAACTGTTTTTTTAGTTAATTAGGTTTAAAATCCAACAATTCATTATTTATGTTGTAAGAATTAATTTAAAAAAAAAGCATATATCTAAACCTTTTAATTTTTTTATAACGTTCTAACATCAAATAAAAGACAATAATTTTAAATTGTTTTATATTTTAAAATAAAAATATTATTTTATTAGTGTTGGATGAATGATCATTTTAGTAGATTGGACCAGTGGTCATAAAAAAATGTAGTGTTCCTTTCTTATCATCCAATAATTTCACCATTGAGACTTCTCGCATCCCTTACCCCTTAAAAAATGACCATTTTATTAATTAACTGGAAAATGGCATAACAAGTATACATTTATCATACTTTCCATTCTTTTGGTTATAGTCTTCTTTGTTTTATATACTCATTTTACTCCAATTGTTTCATTTCTTTTGGGAATAGTTGTTAATCCTCATAATCATTTCTTTTAATTGAATTGATCTCCACTTTCATAACTTGTCTCCACCTTTTATTTTTTACAATTTTCTTAAAATCCAATGACTTACAATCTATTTGAATCTATTTGAAAATAATATAATTCTTCAAGATTACAAGTAACTTTATCACACCTTTTATAGATTTCATATATATCTTATATCTTTCTTAGCCTTTTACTTTTGTACTTTCTTTGTGGACATGAGACATGCTTGGCACTTTGTCATCAAGCTTGCCAAACTTATTCTCGCCAAACTTATTCTTGTCGTCTAGTTAACGTCTTTAGAAACAGACATATTCTTGCCAAACTTATTTTGGGTTATCTTCATCAACAGTTGTAAAATTCTGATACATTCAACTACGAATCACACAAAAATAAACTGACGACATTATTTAGTGATGTGAGCAATGAAAGAATCCATTTCCACGCGAGAAACTCCACCTACTTCCGTGGACATATGGATGGCACTTTTAAGCCTCGCTGCTCTCTCTCTCATCTCATCACCTTCCTTTGTTTGCATCAACCTTCTCACACCATTCTCAACATCTGATGCGGCCACCAACTCATTCCTCTGTGACCAATCCTTCACAACCAAACCAACCTTCAGAACCTCTGTTATCAGAGCTGCGTTACTTGGTTGGTCAGAGTGCATTGGCCATGTTGCTATTGGGACTCCCATGGTTATGCTCTCCAAGCACGAGTTCCATCCACAATGGCTCATAAACCCCCCTGTTGAAGGGTGGCTCAGAATTTCCAATTGGGGTGCCCAATCCCTCACAATCAGCCCCTTGCCTTCCACTCTCTCCTCAAACCCATTTGGAAGATCAAGTCTTTTTGCTTCGTTTTCATCAAAGATGTTCCCTTTATCAGCATCTCTCAGCACCCAGATGAACTTCTGTTTGCTTTGTTCCAACCCAGTTGCAACCTGTTGGATCTGTTCCACTTTCAAAGTTGTTGTTGTCCCAAAAGACACATATATCACTGAATTAGGCTCTTGTTTATCAAGCCACTCCATGCATGAGTGCCTTTCTTTTGAATCTTTCTTCTCAACGGCTAAAGGGTTGAACGGTCCCAGTGCCCAAATCTTTTTACCAGCAGTGACAGCCTCCATCAACTCAATGTAATCACCATCAATCACCCTGCTTGTGTTATAGATGAATCCATCACTGAATTTGAGAAATTCTCTTTGTGTAGTAAGGAAATCCAAGAATTGGGTTGGGAAGCATCCTTCCAGGGAAGGAACTTTAAGGGCGTTGATGGCTTCAACGGAAGGCCTTCCAATTCTGTTCCAATAGTGAACGTAGACGCTAAAGGCGCATGTGATGTGAAAAGTGTAATTCTCAACATTAGGTATGTTTGTGGCTTCTTGTGCCACTGAAGCCATGGCAGAGTCATGAATGACTATAACCCTTTTGGCTTCCGAGGAGAGGGATTGAAGCAGTTTCCTCACTGGGTCTCGAAGATGCATAGAGGCCTCAAAGGAGGGAATTAGATGAGATGGAAAATCGCTTTCTGGATCGGGAGAAGGGGAAAGAAAGGTTGGAACATGAAAGGCATGGAAATGAATGTTAGAAATGGAATTGTGGTGACGAAGTGTGGCTTGGCGAATGTGAGTGACAGTGGAAACATAATGAACTGGTATATTGTGTGATGAGATAATGTTTGAGAGATGCAGAAGCTGATTGAGATGGCCTTGTGCGGAGAAAGGTATGAGAACGACCACCACTTGGGTTTTCTGAGCAATATTTTCTCCATTAGAAGCCATGATCAGGAACTTTGAGAAGCTGTTATTCAACTTCGACAATGGATTCAGCAAGAAGAGGTTCTGTATGGTTAATATTAAGTGTTTGAAAAGGATACAACACACAGCGCAATTCTGCCCGACATAACTTACAGAGAGAAAGAGAGAAATTATGGGTGGTTACAAGTAATGTAACCTTCGAAAATTACAGAATAAAAAACATAAAAAGAGACAAACTGTATTACAAAACAAAACCAAAACAACAAACAATCATAAAACTTTTATTAAAAAATAATGATTAAATAATTTGTTTTATAAACAAAGTAATTTAGAGATACTCGGTCCAAGCATATTTTTGAGTCTGACAAATGGGAGAGAAGACATGTGCTTCTTGTCTACCGCTTCCCATTTCTCAAATAAAACATTTGCCTCACTCTGGATAACGGAGACAAACACCATTTTTATTTTATTTTTGTCTCTAAGAGTAAATCATTTCAATTTAAATATGTTTCAACAGCACTAACACCATAGGAATTTTAACAATCAGTTATCAAACGATAACATCGATTACAACAACCACGCAAACAAATTCCATCAAATAACTAATTCTAATTTAAAATTGGAATCAAGTTTTTAAATATAAATAATTATGTTAATTT